CAACTTTGTATCATGTAAGGAGAAGGTGAAATAATACTAAAGAGTGGTCGAATATTCAAGTAATTTATTTACGCGTAACTATTTTCGATTTAAATCTCGAAAAAAAAATGAGAGATCTAGGGAAGAAAAATGTTGCTCATTATTTGAAAATTATGTGACAAAAACATGAGAACAGGGGGAGGCTGTCGAGAGCAACCTGCGGCATTGTTTACATACTACTAGGCTCCACCATTAAATTAAATAGATGGCCATTTAGATCAATAATCATCCAAATTCTAGAAGAACAATATTTTCTACTTTGATAGTCCTATAATCCATTATTAAGGGTCTGATCGGTACTAATTATGAGAATTGATTTTTTGACTGTTAAGGGGAAAAACGGATTTCACTTGTAAGTGAAGAAGTAAAAAATGATGGCTCAAATAGTAAAATAACGGTAAAAAATTGATTTTTTGGGATGAAAAATTGCTACCAAATGGGAGTTATATGTAAAGTTGTTTACATTTTCGATCTTGTGGAACCTAGAGAACAAACATTATATTCTATGGAGTTTATGGAGTGAGAAAATAATGACTAAAAAAGGCACCCAAAAAAAAAAAAATTTATACAAATTACAAAATCAAATTGTAATAAATTTATTTCAAACGATAATAAAAATATCATATGAAATCTCTCATTTCTTCATAACACCCGTATCATGCTAGTACAAGAAAATTTAACAATTTTATATAATTTTCAAGGAGGATCCACTTTACCACTCATTTTTATTTACTTATGAATTAAACCGTCTATAAATTCTTTTGGAACGGATCAAAGTTTAAAGTCGGAAAGCTGCTTTTTTGCTCATTAGTGAATTAGTTGGAATTTAGTAAAACGTAACACAACTTGTCAATTTCTGTCCAATATTTATTTATTTTGAACACAATTTATATAGATATTTATAAATTATTAAGTTTTATTAAGTTAAGCTTTCATAGTCCTAAACAGATTCCTCCCCCCCGCCCCCCCCCTCCATCGTAAGTCTAATGAAAAGGGGTAGTTCCATAGGAAAAAATAAATATTAAAATGTCTATTAAAGTGACTTAATCACGGGGCAACAAAATATATCGATCAAAAAAGTTTTATTTATTTTATAATTCTTTTTAAATTGCAAAGAGCTTAAATGTAATTCTCTGATTTTTATGCACTTAACGTCGTTGTCTATATCTTTGCTTTCCTGGACCACAAGATTAATGTGGTTCTCACTTCTCACATTGTCGAGTTACATCACTGCGGGTGATTTTCAAGGCTTCAAGCACTTTGGCTCATCGCCAAAAACTTTCTCTTCAAACCAAAGACATAAGAAATTATTCAATAATTATTTTACACAAAGTTATTAATTATTTCTTTCTCGCTGTGCCCGTCATTTTCCATATGAAAAATCCATACTTTTTTCAGGCAAGAATATTAATTTTTAGAGAAAACAAATATTACTGTGTAGGAAAATCTATGCTCTATAATGGAATATATAAAATAAAGCGATGTTGACTGAGTCAGAATAATTTATCCGATTCTACTATCTTTACATTCGAGTTGACACCCTAGATAACACTCCACACACATAGTGGTGGGGCCACGATTATTTTATTAGACTCGGGCCCCACTCCCATATGTGTGTGGAGTGTTATTCGGAGTGTCAATTTGAATGGACACACAACATTATTATAATTTATCAGGGGCAGAAATGGATCGTTAATTACTTCGTAAATTCACACCTCAAATGTGCAGTTATAAGAAATTATTCAATATAATATAGTATCTTCTGAGGAGGATTTGAACAGCAAAGTCTAAAGTCCAACAACAACTTGTTTGGTTAAAAGCCACACAACATGGAAAAAGGTTATTTCTCCATTCATATTTGAGTTTTGAACACGATATACACGCATACACATGGGCGGGTGTAATCCAGGTTTGGATCTAATCAAATATCAACGAGAATTTTATAATTAAAACTAAATAATTTCACATGGAACGATGCAATTTAACTTGTCAATTTTTTATTTTTTTTTTATACTTTAAAACAAAATTATAATGGAAATCTTTTTGAGTTATTTTAGGAGACACAAATATTGACTCTTATGAAGACATATTAGTTTATTTAAATTTATATAAATTGATTTAGTCCAGATATTATAATAAATAATATTAAAATTGAATTAAATACGACGATCAATTAATATTTCCATTGTAAGCCAATACCATCATGACACTTTTGAGCCTAAACTTTATAGTTTGCCCACATTAGCCTTTTTCGGCTAAAGTTCACATCTAACGCATTTAATTGTTTGTGCTCATTATATAATTGTAAGTAACCAATTGCAAAAATATTTATTGATAACAACTAACAACAAAGAAACCTTTGATAATTTCATTAATAAATGCGTCGTTCCTGTGCCTGATTTAAGATGTATAACAACTTTGGCTGCTCTATAAATTCTGCCATTAATAAGGGACACTCTGTCCAATAAAAAAAATTTCTTTTCTTCTAATTTTTTTCCTTTAAACCTTTCCAATAATAAAATATCTCACCAAAAAAATTGCGGGCATACGTAAATGTTAAATTGCATTTATTTCAATAAATTTGCCACCTCCAAATTTAGTGGCTTGCAACACCTTTCACGGCAATGCACCACGGTTTTATACATTAGGGCATGTTTGGCTAAGTTTTAAGAAAGAACAAACTTCTATTAAATTACCTTTTTATTTCCATAGAAGTTTTGTAATTTATATTCTTCTTTTTCTTCTTTTTTTAAGTAAAAATTATTTTGAAAGCTAAAGACATATATTTTACACGTACATATATAGGTACATATACGTATATGAAATCGAATTCATACATAAAAACTAGAAAAGATATTTGATCATTATTAATATCGAAGTGTCTCTGGCACCAATCTGTTGTTAATAAATCAGTTACATATACAAGCAAACATTATGATTTTTTAAGGAATACCATGTTGTCTAATCAATCCAAGTAAGTTGTTATACATATATCTCAAAAATAGTTTTCAATCTCAGGCCTTGTACAGTTTTGTTAAAAGTTAGATTTTTAGATTTTTTTTAATAAAAGTTGATAATGAGGTTTCATAAGCCCGTGTTTGGCCCTCATTATTTGAATTTGTAATGGGGGAATAGTATTTTTTTTGAAGACTGTGTTATTGAAAAGTTTTAAATTTGAGTGTGATATTATTTTATTGAAGATTGTGTGGTTGAAAGTATGAAAGAGAAAAAATTAAATTAAATTGAAGAATTTTAAAGGGGGCCAAATGGGGGCTGAAATATGTAGTTAAAATTAACTGTAAAATTTGATTTATATATGGATAATTGTCACAAAAAATTCGTATCTTTCATGTCTATTGTGCAAAACGTCAATACCTTTCATTTTTTGATATTTTTGCCGCTATTTTCACATTTCTTGGCGTTAAACGTCATTTTCACCAATTTTAGACAATTTTTTACCCTCTATTCAAATAAAACAAAAAGAAAGGAAAGGAAACGACAATAACTAATTGCAACCACAGCCCCCAAATTTTAAAAAATTACAAATATCATCCAGTTTTTGTTCCTTCTTCTTCAAGTGTGTGAAGAACACCATTTGACTCCAAATTTTAGCAAATGAGTGCTGTAATTTCTAAAATTGAATGATTACCCAGTGTTTTTTGAGCCTGAATTAGAGTTTCCCCGAGTTGATTCTTATGTTGGGATTCGTTAAACTCATGAATTGATGGAGAATTATCCTCTTCACGTAGCCGCACAATCCGTGAGGTCAAATCCAAAATTGTTGCATTTGGCTAATAAATTGAAGCAATTAAGTCCATACCCAACGTCGTTTGCCCTTTAATTGCATGTTGATTGATGCAATTTGTAGATTGGAGTTGTGCAGGGATGCCAATTGAAAGGGGATCAAACCGATTTCTATGCGTGGTCATTGTTTTTGGACGAATAGCCATTTCAATGCCAAATTGGGAAAGACCCAAATGCTCAGTATATGCGCCATGATGAGTAGTGTCCTATGGTGGTGGTTGGCGATCATGGATCCCACCACCGTAGCCGAAAAATGGCTTTGTCGGCCGCGAGTTCGTTGACTCGAAAATTGGTTGTAGATATCGATTTTCTGGGTTGTTTGCTATAATTGGAACGTGTATGGATGTGTCTTGACGAGCTTGAGCAGCCTGTGGGTTGTATGGAATATGGGCATCCATGAATTTGGTTGAATTTGTAATAATACGATGCGTGAGGCAATTTTTGGGCAAAATTTGGCTTGATTTTGTTGGGATTTAGGGCTGAAATTTGCTTGGGGGTGTTAAAGTTGATGAGGAAATAGTGGTGGTGTCAAAATTCGATGGCCTTGGTGTTGGAAATTGGATTCCATGGTTGTTGACACATATGCTGAAAATTTTGCACATATATGTGACTGATTTGTAATTTTTTAAAAATTGAGGGCTTTGGTTGCAATTAGTTATTTGTTGTTTCCTTTCTTTTCTTTTTGTTTTATTTGGATGGAGGGTAAAATTGTCCAAAATTGGTGAAAAGGACGTTAAGCGCCAAGAAAGGTGGAAATAAGAGCAAAAATGTCAAAAAATGAAATATATGGACGTTTTTCGCAATAGATATGAAATATAGGAATGTTTTGTGCCAATTACCCTTTATATTTTTATCAACTTTTTAATTAAACCAAACATATTATCAATACAAATATCCTACCTTTGAAATTTTTGAACAAAATTCCTTTTTAGAGTCTCAATTAATTATTAAAAAAAATTCAATTTGATCCCTCGTTCACATCCAGAAATTCCCAAAATAAGACGAACTTCCTATAATGGAGACAAGTAATTATATATATATTTTTAACTCATATTGGTAATGTAAATACATGACTTTATGAAGTCAATATTGTATGGCGTTGGATATATCATTATATCATGCTCAGGAAAATGCTAAGCCACCACAAATATTTCTTTCAGTTCTTGCAACAAATTCTCTATATAAGCCTCTCCTTCTATACCAAACAATTATATGAAGCCTTTTGCCCTATTATAGCTTTTTCTTTACTTCATTTGCCAGTCGTGTTTTTTTTTTTCTCAGCAGTAATTGTACGTCCAGCTTCTTAGCTTCGCCATCTTCGTTGATCAGGTCTCTTCTCTCTCTCTCTCTCTCTCTCTCTCTCTCTCTCTCTCTCTCTTTCTCTCTGCGTGTTGGTGTTTGCTTGTTGTGTAGCTAGAGCGCGGCTTCTCAGTTGTTACTGCTAGAATAATAAGTTGCACAGAGAGCCTCAAAATGAGAAACAAGGACAAAAATCATTTCTTAACGTCTTTCTGTCTTTTCTTTCCTATTGTATTCTAATATGCGTTACATAAATATAATTTATTCAATAGTTAATAATTAATTTACATAATCCACCATATGTTAAGGCCTAAGGGTAAATTTTTGGTGGTACAATTTTTTGAATTTTTTTTTTTTGTCAAAAATGTAATTTTAGATTGTTAAAATGATTTTTAGAAGTAGAGTTTAAGAATGTTATTATAACTTTTTTTTTTCCTGTGGGAATAGACCACAAAATTAATGTGGTTTTCACTTCGCACATTGTTGAGTTACATCACTGCGGGTGATTTTCACAGTTTCAAGCACTTTGGCTCATCGCCAAAAACTTTCCTTTCAAACCAAAGACATAAGAAATTATTCAATACAATATAGTGTCTCCTAAGGAGGATTTGAAAAGCAAAGTCTAAACTCCAAAAGCAACTTGTTTGGTAAAAAGCCACACAATATGGAAAAAGGTAATTTCTCCATTCATATTTGAGTTTTGAACACAATTTACACGCATATACATGGGCGGGTGTCATCCGGGTTGGGATCGAATCAAATATCAATGAGAATTTTATAATTAAAACTAAATAATTTCACATGGAATGATGCAATTTAACTTGTCGTTTTTTTTTTTGATACTTTAAAACAAAATTATAATGTAAATCTTTTTGTGTCTCGTTTTCGTGTTATTTTCGGAGACACAAGTATTGACTCTAGTGAAGACATATTATTTTATTTAAATTTATTTAAATTGATTTAGTCAAGATTTTATAATAAATAATATTAAAATTGAATTAGATATGGCGATCAATTAATATTCTCATTGTAAGCCAATATTATCATGACACTTCGAGCCTAAACTTTATAGCTTGCCCAAATTAGCATTTTCAGCGAAACGTTCACATCTAACACATCTCATTGTTTGCCTTATTGATAACAAGTAACTACAAAGAAATGAAAATTTCATTTCTTTTTTAAGGAATACCATGTTGTCTAATCAATCCAAGTAAGTTGTTATACATATATCTCAAAAATAGTTTTCAATCTGAGGCCTTGTATAGTTTTGTTAAAAATTAGATTTTAAATTTTTTTTTAATAAAAGTTGATAAAATATGTGATTAAAAAGTTGATAAAAATTATGAGGTTTCATAAAATATGTGGTTAAAATTAATTTATATTTTCATCAACTTTTTAACTAAACCAAACATATGATCAATACAAATATCCTACCTTTAAAATTTTCGAACAAAAGTCTTTTTTAGAGTCTCAACTAATTATTAAAAAAAAACTTCAATTTGATCCCTCGTTCACGTCCCAGAAATTCCCAAAGTAAGACGAACTTCCTATAATGGAGGCAATTAATTATATTTTTTTAACTCAAATTGGTAATGTAAATACATGACTTTATGAAGTCAATATTGTATGGCGTTGGATATATCGTTATATCATACTCAGGAAAATGCTAAGCCACCACAAATATTTCTTACAGTTCTTGCAACAAATTCTCATATAAGCCTCTCGTTCTGTACCAAACAATTATATGAAGCCTTTTGCACTATTATAGCTTCTTCTTTACTTCATTTGCCATTCGTGTTTTAATTATTTTTCAAGACTGTCGAGTGTCACCTTAATATATGTTCTGATTAAGGTCAAATTTTGTTTAAGAAGTTCAAATTAAAATCATATTTATATAAATTTACTTTCTGCTAATTAGCATGTTCCATCCATGAAACTGCAGAGATCACTAAAGAACAGTATAATTTTAGAATGTGGAAGCTTAAGATTGCTGAAGGACATGGACCATATTTGTACAGCACCAACAATTTTGCTGGCAGACAAATTTGGGAGTACGACCCTAATGGCGGAACACCGGAAGAACGAGAAGCATATGATAAAGCTCGCGAAGAATTCCAGAGGAATCGGAAATTGAAGGGAGTTCACCCCTGTGGTGATTTATTCATGCGGATTCAGGTGATTCAGTCAGTCTTGTACTTAAACATTCAAGCGGTACAGAGAGTCTATGATCGTAACTAAGTTTTGAAATTTGCATGAAAGAGAAATTCAAGATTCATAGCTTAATATCGTTAAAGAATAGTTAAGAATATGTTTAGTACGTAGTACCAGGCATTACCAAAGTCCATAATGTATATTTCATTCACCGAACGAGCCATTAAAGATTTCTCATATTTGATGTTGTGATATTTCTCAGCTTATTAAGGAAAGTGGGATCGATCTAATGAGCATACCGCCAGTTAGACTTGGAGAAAAAGAAGAAGTAACCTATGAAACAGCCACGACTGCCGTGAAGAAAGCTTTACTCTTAAATCGTGCAGTACAAGCAAGCGATGGCCATTGGCCAGCTGAAAACGCCGGTCCGATGTTTTTCACTCCTCCGCTGGTAAAATTTTCATTTCTCATTCAAAAGTTTACATATCAACTCTATGTACTTTGCAATTCAATTTGTTCTGTACAAAAATGGTAAAACAGTTTTTACTGTTTGAATGCTGATTCTCAAGTATTATACATGTAGATTATTGTCTTGTATATCAGTGGAGCAATTAATACTATCCTCACATCAGAACACAGAAAGGAGATGGTTCGCTACATTTACAACCACCAGGTGTGTTGTACTATTATGCCTTTATGACAAGATGGCAATCGACTATAAGTATTAGAGAAGAGTAAAAAAAGAGTCGAAATCTTGTCCATTTTACTATACTCGTGTGAAATCACATATCTTTAATGTCTGCATATGTATTTCTGATCGAAGTGTAAAATTGTGAAATGTGACGTGCAGAACGATGATGGTGGATGGGGATTTTACATTGAAGGTCATAGTACGATGATTGGCTCTGCACTTAGTTATATAGCTCTACGTTTGCTGGGAGAAGGGCCTGACGATGGTAATGGTTCGATTGCTAGAGCCCGCAAATGGATCCTTGATCATGGAGGTGCAACCGGAATTCCCTCATGGGGAAAGACCTATCTTTCGGTATAAATCTTTAGTTCCAATCTCGAAAAAAAAAATCCAAGTAAATTTGCCAAGATTGAAGCGATGAACAATATAAACCAAATATATTCTGATACAGGTCCTTGGAGTGTATGATTGGGATGGTTGCAACCCATTACCACCAGAATTTTGGCTTTTCCCTTCATTTTTACCTTATCATCCAGGTAAAAAAAGAAAGAGAAAATTCAATCGATAGATGATTATTAAAGATTGGATTTGATTATAATTAGTATGATTCGTTCTAACTTTTTTCCGCGTATGCGTTGCAGCCAAGATGTGGTGTTATTGTCGTACTACATACATGCCTATGTCATATTTGTACGGGAGAAAATATCACGGGCCACTTACCGATCTTGTTTTATCGTTGAGAAACGAGATTCACATCAAGCCATATAATGAGATAGACTGGAATAAAGCACGTCATGACTGTTGTAAGGTTAGGACTTGTGTCTATTGTGATTAACAAGTTGGATCCTATCACAGTTGATTTTGGTATTAAATAGCTAGAAAATTTAGATATGAAATACCCTTCCTTTTGGGTAGCAAAGTACAATCAAATTTCGAATAAGCATTAATTTTCTCCTGATCTACCTATACAAAGGTGAATGTATTACGCTGTGGGTGAATGTATTACGCTGTGGGCGAATTTGACTTTAGACTAGAAATATTACGTGTGTGTGTCTATGTGAATTTTATTTCGAATCATTTTTTAATATCACCATATTTGTTTGATGCAGGAAGATTTGTACTATCCTCATAGCTCAATACAAGATCTTCTTTGGGATACTCTCAATTACTGTGCCGAGCCAGTAATGAGACGTTGGCCACTAAATAAGATTAGACAACGAGCTCTAAATAAGACAATCAAATATATGCGCTACGGAGCAGAAGAGAGCAGATACATTACCATCGGATGTGTAGAAAAGGTTAATAATTCTAGCTAAAATCAACGATTGCAAAAATTCTCTTGATGTTTCAAACACCATAATAGGTTGTTAGGCCCAAAATAACACATTTTTCTTAATGTAGAGTCTACAAATGATGTGTTGGTGGGCACATGATCCAAACGGTGACGAATTTAAGCATCATCTCGCAAGAGTTCCCGATTACTTGTGGCTTGCCGAAGATGGAATGAAAATGCAGGTGCGTTTTTGACACAATCATATGTTTTCTTGAGCTTAAAATTTGTCAAAAATCTTATTGGATGTGCTTTCCCCCCCTTACTTCTAAGTAGAAGAAATTTACTTCGAAAGTCACCCAATATGCTATTTTAAATACAGAGTTTTGGTAGTCAAATCTGGGATAGTACTCTTGCCACTCAAGCCGTTATTGCAACTGGTATGGTTGAGGAATATGGGGATTGCCTTAAGAAGGCACACTTCTATGTGAAAGAATCTCAGGTTCATTTCTAGGAACAAACAAAATGTCTTTTTTTCCTCATTGAAGTCGCCAAAAATAGTGTGTTGACCCGAATTATGTTTCATGCTAACTATGCAGATAAAAGAAAATCCGGCGGGAGACTTCAAAAGTATGTATCGTCACTTTACTAAAGGCGCGTGGACTTTCTCAGATCAAGATCAGGGGTGGGTTGTATCAGACTGCACAGCCGAAGCCCTTAAAGTAATTTAATTTGTTTTAACAATACGACAACAAATTCACATAAACAAGTTTAATTGATTAAACCTGCATGAATTTTACAATGCAGTGTCTCCTCTTACTCTCACAACTGCCCACAGAAATTGCTGGAGAAAAAGCAGATGTTGAGCGCTTGTACGAGGCTGTGAATGTCCTCCTATATCTACAAGTATGAATTTCGTGGAATTAAGCATGGTTGATACATAGTATTGAACAATATTGAAAAACAAATATAAGTAAATCTAGTTCATTTATTTTCTCGTCCTATGTAATTTTACTAACAAATATACTTCAAGTCTTATAGTGCACATATAATGAACATTTGACTAATCACGTGCTAATGAATATTTTAGAGTCCTGAAAGTGGTGGATTTGCTATTTGGGAGCCCCCAGTTCCACAGCCATATTTGCAGGTAACTATTCTCACATACTTGTGACAAAGTGTTTGCCATACTGAGTTGAATAGTACTTGACTGCATTATTCAAGAAAAAAAATAAGTTAAAATCTCGTTCATTTTCAGATGTTGAATCCTTCAGAAATTTTTGCAGACATAGTGGTTGAAACAGAGTAAGAAACATTAGCCCTTTTCCTTTTTCACAAGATTTCTATCTTGTATTCGTCAATAATTCGACAATAAAAATCACATTAATCATCGATTTAATTGTTGATTTCAGGCACGTTGAATGCAGTGCTTCAATAATCCAGGCTCTTTTGGCATTCAAGCGTCTATATCCAGGCCACAGGGAGAAGGAAATTGAAATTTCCGTCGCTAAAGCAATATCCTTCCTTGAAGGAAGACAATGGCCCGACGGCTCATGGTGAGTTGATTTACATCTGGTACATGTTTGGTTCGCACGATAAATATTTTGATCTAATTAGAAATATAAACACTCGACAGGTATGGCTATTGGGGAATTTGCTTCTTGTATGGTACATTTTTTGTGCTTGGAGGATTGTCTGCTGCAGGGAAAACTTATGAAAACAGTGAAGCAGTTCGTAAAGGAGTAAACTTTTTGCTATCAACACAAAATGAAGAAGGTGGATGGGGAGAATGCCTTGAATCATGTCCAAGCATGGTAAGCAAATACCCTTTAGACTATACAAGAAATTCTTCTGATAACCTTCTCTTTTTAAGTAAAAATTACTCAACATTTGATGATTCTGTGACAGAAATACACGCCTTTGGAAGGAAATAGAACAAATTTGGTACAAACATCGTGGGCCATGCTAGGTCTTATGTATGGTGGACAGGTTAGTTCAAAATTTTGAACTTATGTACGCTTTCTATTATAAAGTGTCAAAACGTATCGAATCATTACTTTATCCATCTACGTTGAGACAATTTTATATTTGAAAAAACACGGTCTGATTAGTGAAATTCTTGTGACATGGGCATAAAGTCCATCACAGGCTGTGTTGGGTCTAAGAATTTACTCGATTAAGTAATGCTTAACCTTTCCTTCTTTTCTAATAAAAAAAATTAGGCGGAGAGGGATCCAACATCTTTACATAAAGCAGCAAAGTTGTTGATTAATGCCCAAATGGATGATGGAGATTTCCCTCAACAGGTAAAAAAAGAAATAATTAATTAAATTGCATAACAAAACTTAAGTAAATTTTCTAAAAAAATTTCTTCGTTACTAATGGAAATAAAATTTTTATTACAGGAAATTACTGGAGTATACATGAAGAATTGTATGTTACATTACGCACAATACAGGAACATTTTTCCATTGTGGGCACTTGGAGAATATCGTAAACGTGTGTGGTCATCTCAAAGCCTGTAAATTAAGAGAAAAATCGTTACATAATCATCAACATTAATCTTTTTTCTTTCTATAATGGATGTATTTCCTTTTGAAGTGTTCAAGTAATATAACCTTGCAATAATGATATGTTTGGTAAGTTGAATTGAATAATACTATCCCAAAGAAAGAAAAAAGTCATATTTTTTCCCAGACTCTATACAATTTGGGTTAGTAATACAAGCTAAACAAACTCATTACATTGTGTGATCTAAAGAGTAACTTTCCGAAAGTTCCTACTTTCTCAAACTGATTCTTTACCTACAATTTTTTTGAGTCGTATTACTATTTCCTTCATGCTTGACTCGTAAACTAACTATGATCTAATTTAATGATAGTCTCTTCATTACCTCGGACTTAATTGATAATCCGAATTATTTTCCTCTCAACTATGATTAATTTTCGATTGTCCATTTGTCCTCACCTAACGTCTAATTATAAGTACCTGGAAAAATATAGCTTGTTGAGGTACAAGTATTAATTGAAATCAAACTAATAAGGTCAAATTTGCCCAACTACACCTAATAAAGTCAACATTATTGGGATTGACATTGATAGGCCTAATTGCTTTGCTTTCATTGCCATGACGCCGCCCCCACACTCGAATGCATTTATTATACACAGTTGAGTTCATTATGTACCAAATATAGGTGAAAGTCGGACTTAATTGATAATCCGAATTATTTTCCTCTCAATTATGATTAATTTTTGATTGTCCATTTGTCCTCACCTAACGTCTAATTATAAGAAGTATCGTAATTATAAGAGGTACCAGGAAAAATATAGCTTGTTGAGGTATAAGTATTAATTGAAATCAAACTAATAAGGTCAAATTTGCCCAACTAGACCTAATAAAGTCAGCATTATTGGGATTGACATTGATAGGCCTAATTGCTTTGCTTTCATTGCCATGACGCCGCCCCTACGCTCAAGTGCATTTATTATACACGGCTGAGTTCATTATGTACCAATTATAGGTGAAAGTATTGAACTTAACCTCGGTTACATAGAGGAGGTATGGCTTACAAAAGGATATTCTCGAAATTATTATGCAAAATAAAGGCACTGCAAAGGTAAATAAAGCCTAATTGTTATCGTCAAACAAGGTCAGAGTCGAAGTTAGCCCATCAATCCACCTTTAATTAAAGGTTGAACCCCAATCTTGAGGATCCCGCCCCGCCCCTAAAGTTTTATGAGGAAGATAAATCGCGGGATGTACCACAGCAGGTCAAGAAACAAGAGTTGTCTGTACATTATGCCTATAAGAAGTTCAATTTCATGTATCAGGAATCGAACCCCCACACTGTGATTGCCAGCAAAAAATGAGATAACTTCACTTTTGTCATTTACACCACTGGGCTATGCCCCGAAAGGCCAATCCACCTTTAATTAAAATCATTCAAGGTTGCTCCATCTTTAGTTAATTAGCACATCTTCAATCAACGATAGTTTCCTTTTACAAATTTTGTTAAAAGGGCGTAAAGAACTTACTTACACCTCTCATTTTTAAATAAAAAAACAAATATATACTACATGTTTTCTCCATATATAAAAACAAGGTAACAGATATATGTGCTAAAGAAACAAAAGATTAATGATAAGATAACGAATGTCAAGTGTTAGAGACTCTTTAATATTATTGAATTATGGTATACTTTTAAAACTCACAAGTAGGCAATTCTCTCAAAACCTGCTCTCAATAGATAGGGTCCATAACTTGGCAATTATTCTCAATCAATATATAATACTAATATGTCTTTATAACAAATTAAATGTTTTTGTCACACGGTGGGATTCAAACGAGTATCAATCTTAAAAATACGTAGACTCAAAAATAAATTTGATGGAAAAAAGTTTTCATAAAAGCTAATACATAATAAGTTAAATTGAACATAATTTAATTTTGCCAAAAATATGTTAAAAAATATAAGAGACTTAATGAATCATTAGGACGTGACAATGATTGACCAAATGTTGATACCAGGCTCTTCTGTCGTTCTCGTTTATGCTCTTATTAGATGTGACTAGCTAGAAAGAAGGGCATGGTTGTTAGCGTGTGATTAGCTAAATTATAGATAATTTGTATGGAAAGGAGTATATCTGCCTATATGAACGATATATATTATAGGAGATATGATTGATATGCCTTGATGTATACCTTTGATATAGGATCTCTGTAACAACTATGTAATCGCCTATATAAAGGCTTTCTCTATGAAGAAATAATAATGAACCAAAACCTTAGAACTTCAATGTGGTATCAGAGCATATTACAAACTTCTTTTATAGATCCTAAGCCGCCACTATAGGCTAACCATATTCTTTATTCAGTATTGGTCTTGAAACAAGGGACCAACCATGGACGACAAAAATAATGATATTGTCACTATGAACCAAACTCCAACCCAATTGAATTACCCAACCTCAGCAGCTTACCATTTGGATTTTGATTGAACGATACAAACTTCAAAATCTGGTCAAGAATGATTGAAGTTCATGCCGCGGGGTTAAATAAAGGAAAAAATTCACATGTCAGGTGTATTTTTTACACCAATGCACAAATCATGTACAAAGTTTAAAATTCATAATTCAGGCTTTTGTATAATTAATTGAAAATATTTATTAATTAAATATAATAAAGTCACAATTAGACGATTAATGGTTACCGATTCATAATTATTGGTCACAGATTTACTTATTGGTCACATATAATTGAACAAATTGATTACAGATTATTTCGATGTCACAGATAAAAATTTTTGTAGTTCATAGATTATTTCAAGGTCACAGATAAAAAATTCACATGTGACAAATTATTTTATTGGTCACAAATCAAAAAAATTACAAGTTATAGGATCACATATGTTCAAATTTATTGGTCACATATTCTAAATAGTTGGTTACATGTATGCAGGATTGGGATTAATGTTTTGTTTCTATCTAAATTGTTTACCATCCTGAGTCTGAGTTATAAAAAACTGAAATAGTTAATCATAGGGTATGTTCTATATATTTTTAAAGTGGACAACTTTTATTCTAAGAAAATGTCTAGAGGTAGTTGTGAAATTATGCCCCTGTTTTGTTCAACTATAAAGTTAGATTAAAATTTAAGTCAAAGCCAACTATTAATTTTAACTTCACATTTCATGAGATCCATAACTTTTCAACTATATGTTCCATCAATTTTTATCAAAATATAATGAACATCTGATTTTATATGTAAACCAAACAGGGACTATACTCTCTCACGTGCAAATCTATTGGAATATAGAATAATGTTCACGAGATGGGGTCCAGAGGGAGATAGTTTAGAAAGTTGAATCTAATCTAAATTATTAGTCTAGCCTAATTTACGAAATTGAATTTGTTTAATATAATTGAAAGTAAAGACCAAGGAAGTTAATGCTAGCAAATTGAAATGAGAAGTAACTTAAATTACCAAGTGTTTGGAAATTACCAAGTGTTTGGAATCCACCACTGTTTAACTTCATAATGTTCACGTGATTGATCCAGATGGAGATAGCTTAGAAGGTTGGTACTAATCTAAATTATTAGTTTAGCTTATTTTAAGAAATTGAATTTGTTTGAAATAATTGAAACTGAAGACCAATGAGGAAGTTAAAGCTACAAATTTAAATAAGAAGTAATTTAAATTACCAAGGGTTTGGAATCCAGCACTATTTAACTTCACTATCTCTAATTATTGAGTAATTCCCAAAATTAGGGTGACAACTCGAAATTAATCTATTGTCATCTCATAGATCTAACTTGGAAGCCCAAGTTAAAAAAATCCGAGATAAGTCCTTATTTTCATTTAATTGATTGTCTAAGTTTTTCCCATATCTAATTTAATAAAGTCAAAGAATCAAAGGTGTCATGTCTTTAGAATTCTATATATCAATTATAATGAAAATAAGACGAAGGGGTTTGAGAGAGTTTGGGGCGAGCCGAGATAAATCGGTGTTCGTTTGATTGTTTTCTGAGTATGGAATCAAGATTTATTGAGGGAATTTCGCTACAAATGGTATCAGAGTTTGTATTGTTGTTAAATCTGTGATTTTTGGGGCTAAAATTGAGCTAGAAGTGGCCAGAAATCGATCTGGAAAACAGGCAAAAAACTAGACGAAATCTGGGCAAATTTTTGCAAAACTGGATAGATCTGTTTTTGAGTTTTCTGGTGAAACCAAAAAGAGTTTGGCAGATATCCACCATTGTTGCCTCTTCTTCTCTTTCCTATTACCACTACCAGTGGATTGTGCAGGCGGAGATGGGGATTACGACTAGGGCGCATGAGGGCGCTTCCGGTGGATTCCGATGAGGATATCTTCAGACAAAATGTTTCTGGAGATGAGTCGGACCCTGCGGTGTTGTTGGATTTCAGTTTGAGCAATGCAGTGAAAGTTGGATGATTTTACCCTTAAACGTTCAAGTGTCGGGTGCTGTTTTCGTGTTGCTGTGATTGCTGGTGACTTTAGGATGAATAGTGATAGTCCTGAAATGGTGAATTCCCGTCTTTTGATATTTATGGACCTTCAAACGTGGTCCGCTCGGTATCATATTCTTTGCATTTTATTATTGCGGTTAAAATTAATGTATAGGTTGATTATTTATTTTGCGCATTAGAAGTCATTGTGTGATGTGACGTTAGGTTTGGGGTTATCGTGAAGGGATAATCATTGTCTATTGCTAGACCTAGAAATTATATGTTAATTAATTGTCTTAAATTCTATGTGAATTTGTCACCAATTTTTCTACATCGATAGAATTGCATGTGATCTTAGGAAAGTTTACTTGATTATTCTGTGTGAATTATATGTCAATACTTTGCTTGTGGCCATTATTTGATACTGTTGGCATGTATAGGTCTAAGGCAAGTGCGAAAAATAAAATATATTTTAACTGTGGTAAAATTTGGGCATAGTTGAAAGAGATTGTCCCAGAATGATAATAAAAGGAAAGATAAGGATAGAGACGAGGTGAATGTGACTTTAGGGTCGAGTAGTGATCCTAGTGAGGTTTATTGAGAGAATAAACCTGGTTCTTGCATTGCATCTGTATGTAATCCTTTCTGCATGTATGTTGTCACTTAATTCTGTTGCAACGTTGGTATGTTATACTTTCAATATGTTTGATGTGTGTAATTGCATGAATTAGAGTGATTTATTGCTTTGTGTAATGTGTTTGCATGCATAGTGAGTTGAGATTTATGGTATACTCTATTTGCTCTATGAGTGGTGTGAGTATGGTAGTGAGAAGAAAGTTAGGACAGCCTTTTTCTCCTTTATCTTTGTAAGCCTGTATGGTTTTTTGTGAGATTGTGTGAGGCAGCCATGTTAGGATTATATTCTTCTTCTTTGTGAGCCTCCTTTATGAGTGTTGTGAAGTAACCGACTATTTTTTTGATTTTTCTTTGTGAGTGCCACTTTCATCATTTTCTTTGTGGATTTTTTGGAGCTTTGGTGATTGGGGTAATCTTTGTGGTCACCGAAAGTTGTTGATTTGCCAAAGTGAGTTTGAGATGCATTAACAGTGCGGATGTCTCTTGATAAGGTAGAGTATAAATGCCTAGAGGTGCATTAGTGATATGCACGGGGATGTAGAGTGTGATATTTGGATCATGAGTGGAGAAGTGATCAAATGTGTAGAATCCTTTATCTATGAAAGAGACTTTGATCAGGTGGAGTGTGAGAGAGGCATTTCTATTACTTCTGTAAGGTGGAGTCCCATTATCCACGTAGGTTGGGAGAAGTGATGTGGTGATAGAGGATTATTTTGAGAGTTTAGGATCTATTGTGACTTGCGAGTTGGACATGAGTTGAGTGATCTATTTAGTGAGCATGGTGGGGGTGATGAGACAGATATGTGTTCTCGAGGTGGGAGTAACATGGAATGGGATAAGATAAGTGTGGTGCGATCTTTCATGGGGTCATTTATGCATTTGTTGCATATGTGTGATCGTGTGCTGATTAACTAGGTGTTATTTTGTGGTTCTGTGTGAACGTGATTTTGAAAAGATTTGTGTGTGTTATCCTATATATCTTCATCGCATGATTATTTGTTCATTGTGAATACTTGTTTCTACTTGAGTGTTCTTAACCTTAACCCTGGTGAGTACATGGAGCAAGTATGGTATGTGTTTCATTTCGAAACACGAGGTAAGATCTATGATTCCAATTTTATTGAATTACCTTAATTGTGTAAGTATAAACTGTGTTTTGGTTGCTTGCAGTTTATTGGGCATCAAGGTGGAGATTGTTGGATTTTTTGATATCCAATAATCCAGATGATGATTTAAAACAGTTGTCGGATTATTTATCGACACCATGGACTTGGCTCGGCTCGAAGACGAACTATACTTTTGGATGGCCCACATCTTGGTTAGTGTTGGACTTTGAGGTACTTGTTGAATTAGTAGATTGTGGGTTGGATTAAATGGTAGCCCATTAGTTTATGTTTTAAGAAGCCCTTTTGCACATGTCTTTGGCCCAAATTGTGTGTCTAACCTATGCTATATATATCCATATATATTCCCAGCCGTTTTCTCAATGGTGGTGAGTGGGTGTATGTGGAAGAGAGGGCCGTGAGAGAGAGAGGACCGAGAGGGTTGAGGGGCAGCCGGCTGTTGGGAATCTACTTATACATGCACAGTGGAATTTAAAATAATTTTCGATTCCCTCCAAAAATCGCCTTTGTGTTTAGATAGAAATTGTGATAAGGATTGTACCTTTTAAGAATTCTGCAATCCTTTTGTTTTTCTTTTAGTTCCATCAACTTTGATTCGCCACCACAGCTGTCCAATTGTCCAGCCTCCAACGGTGATCCACACAGAGAATAAGATTGCAACTTCTAGGGTTTTCTCTTGTGCCAGCAAGAATAATGAAAATTATATGGATCTCAAACCCTAGCCATGTATTTATATAAACCCAAATGGGCTCTGCCCGATCCGGTCCAATATTTAATTAATTCATTTAATTAAACCCGGTCCGTGAATTAATTAATCCAATTAATTAATTCGGAATATAAATAACAAATCTAATTAATTAATTTATCTAACGATTGTTAAATTAACCAATTGACAATTTGCAATCTTTCAATTCTCTTTTGTGTGTGACCCATTAGGTTCCCGACCACGATGCCTAACGACATGAAATATTATTTTGATCTAATCAAAATTGATAAATTAAAACACCCTTTTTAATTTATCGTCAATTCACACTCGCCGTCCCTGATTGACATCTAGCAATGTGTCAGGACAATACATGTGACGGAAAATGTCACGTGGTATGACAAAATCAAATTCGTTCGTTTACCGTAAAACTATAATCCCTTCGTCAATATGATCCGATCAATTACGAGATATGAAAGTGTGTCAATCTCGATCATCGATCATATTTTTCACTCCACTATTAAGTCAATATAAATCGAAAACTCCTTTTCGACTTATGAGTACACCTTGGCCAAGGATTTCATCATCGACTTAATTGAATGAAATGCAGATCATAATCTCCTACTGTCTAAGAGTGACGAATCCTTTATTGATCAATCACAACCTTCATACGATTCTTGACGTACCCGAACGATGTCGTATTAGCGGCCCTTTTCAGAGCAACATCCAACATCGCCAAAGTATTACTGTCCTCATATAAGGTACCATGACGACCTCAAGTCAAAGGACCAATTCCACTATCGAACGTTAGAGATTAACCACTGACACTCAGATAGTTATCCATGTGGAATCTCTCGACGGGTCTCCAATGTTTTGTTCTATAACAAAACATCCACGTGTTCATTTAAGTGTTACCACACTTTAACTTGTGAGATCAACTACTTACTTCACAAGTAAGAAATGCCACACGTGATGGTCTATCCGTAATAACGATATCCGTATCTCGTTATTACTTACAATCACGAACGATTTAAGATTCAATCAGATATAATTTGTATCTCACAATCACAACTCCTTGTGATTAACAAATTACGAAAATTTGAATCTATGGACTCTATTATTTATTTAATTGTCTATTAATTAAATAATAGATCTGCCATTTAATTGCATTAATTACATATAAAAGTATTTATGTCCAAAACTGATTGGACCTAGGGCATAATACTTACATCGGCTTGGAGGGTTTGTTGGAGTGATTCCCACCATTGTTGCCTCTTCTTCTCTTTCCTATTACCACCACCATCCCTTCTCCTTTTGTGGGGTTGAGAGAGTTTGGGTAGTCTAAAGTGAAGGCGAAAGTTTTCGGTCGAGCAGAGGTAAATCGGTGTTCGTTTGATTGTTTTCTGAGTCCGAAATCAAGATTTATTGAGCGATTTCCGTTACAGAACCAAAACCTTAGATCTTCAACAATGGTGAGCCCGAGAAGGTCTTAAAGACCCTCTAGCGATAAACTCAAAATAAATGTTTGATAAAGCTTCTTTGGTTTACCATTCCCAAGTTCTCGAAGCAGAAATTCTAAAGCTTTTTTTGAAGAAAAGATTGCACTGGCTGACCACTTTGCTATCAGTTATGGCCAGATAATAAATCCAAACCATCCACGGTCCCTTTGAAGATAAAAAGAAAAGGGAACCAAACAAATTAACCTTAGCCTTTTGCAACTTGATTGCCATTATATTATTTCTTTTATTAATTCCTTTTGAAATATACTGCACGAGGGAGAGTGAATGCAGGAGAAAGCAACTTCTAATTAGTTAAGAATTGATTTTTATATGAAAGAGTTTGTGGAATCCACGCCCAAAAGTAAAGACCTTTATTTCTCTTGCAACCAAATTGGGCAAGAATAATAACTGTTTCCTTCATTTCAATATTGAAATTTGAACATGGTTTACAAAGAGAAAGGCAGTCTATCAACTAATTAATCTTCTATATACATAGGGACAACAAATTTTATCTGTTACATTGCTAGAAATTAAATAATTAGGCCTAACTTTCTATTACTAGAAATTAAATGATAGGCTAATCTTTCATGTCCGAAAAATCTCGTATTGCTCTCATACTCTCCTTCTCACGGTTTGAGTTGTTCCCCTTTTGTGCACGCTAAAACGGGAATCACTTGGGTTTTCTTTCATCAATTCGGCAAGATTCCCATTGCATGTCCATAGATTGATAAACATTCAAAAATCTTCAAATCTCTTGAATCTTCACATCAAAAGATTGTCTGATTCTATTATTATTTCTGAATTTAATTATATTTGTTTTCAGCTCTTTGGGAGATGATCAACGAAACGGAAAAATGTAAATAAAGAAAAACATGCTTTAGAGGAGTATGGCGTGTGTGTCGATCAGCAAATGTTCGTGCAAGAAGTGCCAAAAGGACCGAAAGAAGACTCTATTGCTCGTGCCAAAAAGTGATGTTTACAAGTTGCTTAGCACTGCCCTTGTCATGAAAAGTTGGAAAGCCAGCAAATAAAGAAGTATAGAGCAAACTGAGCAATGGAAGCTTTTCATGTATCCCCTTTGTTTTACCTGTTTCACAATAAAGTGCCACAAATAAAATAAGTTTTTGATGCTGCAAACGTAGGATTGGCATTATCTGGAGTGACTTTATAAGTACAAGTTCTGGACAAGCACAGCTAGACAATATTGATTAATAGAGACATGCTGAAAGAAAAAATTGTTATTTATCCTATCTAGTTGAGTTGAGCATAGAAGCACACCATTCATAAGTTGCACGAAAACTTCTAAAAATGCTATGGTTATGGTTTGGTACACGTTTTGGAAATAAATATTTTGAACAAATTCCAGAAAAGAAAAAATCAAATTTCAATGGAAAACATCAAGAAAGCTTTATATGTATTTTCCCCAAAAAATTAGAGAAATTTCATTATATTCGAGTTGGTTGGACAGGTAAAATTCATTATTGTTTTTCTTTCACTGGAGATTTGGTTGTATGTCCCCCTCTAAAATGTTTATTATTTCTTTTGTATAAATAAATACTCCACTGGTGATTTAAGATTCTTTTCTTAAATGAAAAACGTTTTAAAATCTTTTTCATGTTCATGCAACGTAGTATGACAGTGACAGTAAAAGATATCTATGGCTTTACCTGGATGCCACTGGAATCTAGTGAAATCGAAGCCGAGGGATTTGATGTAGTTGACAATGTGTCGAATCCTACGTTGTATGCCATGGTTCCATCAGGTTGAAATAAACCATAATTCCTCTCTGAAGTCTGTCCAGGCTTCATGTCTTCGTTAAACAAAGCAAAAACATAAATTTCAAGTCTCCTTTTCGGCCTTAAGGGCGTCCCTTCATTTTTCACCTGTCTTTTCAGCAAATTCCGGTTATAAATCGCTGCATTCTCCACGGTGGCGCCACTTTCATCCGGATCACCTTTGGACGGCCAGCCGGTTTCCGATACCCCGACTTCTAACCCGCCAAAACCCATTTTCCCAAGTGCAAATATTACTGCATCCACTTGAGCATATAGCATGTTGTCGTATTGTAGATTGGTGTAAGGATCAATCATGCCTGAATTAGGGTTGAACAGTACATAGTCTAAAGAAACGCCATCTGGATCATTTTTGTAAGCAAAATAAGGGTAAACGTTGATCCAAAATGGCACTTTTGTAGTCGCCAAAAACTGTAAAAGTTCCGGCACTATTCCATTGAGGTCTTGCCGGAAACATCCTGCTGACGGCGGGTATGATTCTGATAGCACTGCTAAAGAATTTGGGGTCGAAACTTGAATGTACTGATCAAGTCCTAATCGGACTAATGCTGCATGAATGCTGACCATGGCTTGGACGAGGTAAGCCATTAGTACCGTGTCGTCGCCGGTGAAAACCTCGTTCCCGACGGCGATTCCGGTGATTCTTGTTGCCGGAAAATAAGGCTTTATGCGTACAGATACCCATTGTAGTGCTGCTTGCGGATCCATTAATGTGGATAGCATTTCGTTTTCGACTGTTACTATGATTTCAATGTTGGAGTTTGCAAATGTCTTTAGAATTTGAGGATTTGTGTCGTAAATTCTGGCTTTCGTTAGGTTAAGGGATTGCAAGAGATGAAGAACTTTATCCGGCGGCGGTAAATTGTTGCCGATTTGACCATAATTAATGCCGAGTGATTCTACTTCTCTTTGAAAAGAAAAAACTGTTCAGATTCAAAGAGTTAATTAATATTAACGACTTCAAAATATAGAAACATCAAAGGGAGATATTCACCTGATAAAGTTAGAAACAATCTGAGAAGAACATATAAGGTGGAAATCCTGTTTTGGAGTGTTTCCATAGTGTATGTACCAGTTCACGTTTGAGAGTGGGGAATAAAAAGATGTGGGAAGTAAGAGATATTGGTGTTTGCAGCTGGGAATTCATATTTAAAAGGCCAGATAGTGACTCGTATGAAAATATCAATTTTAAAATGTAATAACTCATCTGAATTTTAGACGAATTATTTGAACATTTTAAGCTTCATTGATGCAGAAAGTGGGGTAGATGCGCGTCCCATGAAGCATTATGTCAGTTGAGGGTATCAACGTGAGCATGCTCACGAGCAATCGCTTGATTAACTTGCAATCACGAATCTAGGGATGACAATCGGGCTCGTCGGCTCGGGCCGCCCATGGCTCGGCTCGGGGCTCGATAGACCCGAGCCCATTTTGGGGACACGGGCTTTGCCCGAGCCGGCGCGTGAGCTCGCGAGCTTTTTTAAAACAGAAAAAAAGAGAGAGAAAACGAGCCTGCCCGGCTTGGCCCGTAAAAAGCTCGAGCAAAAGAGCGGGCCGAGCATTTTTTCTGGCCGAGCCCGCAAAAAAGCTCGGTATTTTTAACCGGGCCGAGCCCGAGCCGAAATTTTAGGCTCGCGAACCAGCTCGACCCGGCTCGTTTACATCCCTACACGGACCTAATGATAATGGTAGGAAATCCTCTCGGATTGATGTACCCAGTCAACATAGATGCATCTTCAAGCAACTCGATCGGATGGACCTCGATCGAGGGATATAGGCCAACTGTTGCCAGCTGCACTTATGCCATTATGAAGCCTATATTATGAAGTTCTATAAATAGGCTTATCCCCCAAATTGACTCAAATTACTCACTCACCCATATCAACTTTTCTCCCTCTAGAGAAAAATTGCAAGACAGTCATTTTCACTCCGCACAGAAAGCAAGATATATGCACAAAGCCTCCTTATAGTTAAAAATCATTTTTTTAGAACATTTTGATAAAAGTTGATAAAATGTGCGATTAAAATTAATTATTGACTTTTATTTACATTTTTATCAACTTTTTAAGTCACACCAGAAAGGGGCAAATATTCAATTCTTCTAGGAGAGAATTGAAGAAACTCATCACACAAAAAATCAATATCGTATCGAGTTCCAGAGAATCGTCTTTATACAGTATTCAATTTTCACATATATGTACACTCTCTTAACAACTATAACAAGACTTGCGCGCTTTCTTCACTGATGGCATAAAGGTGGATTGCATCAGTACAGATAAGTATTATAAATTAATTTAAATAGGGTCAAATATTTGTATTGGTCACGCAGTTGAATCATATTTATTACTGACATCTCCTCCCAATTAATCCCACCTAATGGATATATTAAAATATCTGGTGATCATCAAATTAAGACAATTTGCATTAAGTTATCCCTTTGGTTCATATGAAATAGTGCTAACCATGCATTCTATGAGATTAGCAAAGGCATAAAAGTGACGGCTTGCGTCAGAAAAGGACATCGGAGAAGCCACTAACCGTCATCACTCACCAGCCATTTAGTATATTATCCTAGTGATTTTCAATCTCCACCAACCAAATATTGATATTTAGTCTCTGTTTGGTTTGGCAAAAAATAATTTTTTTTAGTAAATTTTAATAAAAATTAATGAAATATATGATTGAAAAATTGATAAAAATTATGAATTCTATAAAATATATTGTTAAAACTAAATTTGAAGAAAACTAGTTAAAAAATTGGAGCTAAATATGACCTTAATATAAGACATTATAGAGAATACGTTGATCAACGGGATTTTCTATCATTGATGGTTAAATTATCTCCATTTTAATGATAATCATCGAAAGTTTGATGGAACCTTGAAATTATCGATAACAACAAAAATACAATACTGCATTGATAAATGCCCTAGTGTTTGCGAGTTTTCAAAGAACACATTGTATAGAAAAGCTCTCGTCGTTTCTTGATAGTAAATTTGTTAGTGGAGGCCATCCATATCTTGATAGCTGGTCAATGCAGTCTCTTCCCTTTTACGTATGTAAAGCAAAAGAATAGGATTTGGACGAGTTTGATATATAGATATCATAAAGAAGGGTGTCCATGAAAAGCAAAGGCTTTTATTAAAGGCGTTTTTTATGTTAAAGGAAGAAGCATATGGCAAGAAAAAGAAGTAACATCATCTCTTAATTAACAAGAATTCTACCTTCCATTGCTATCATAAGATAAGCAAGTTGATGAAATGGAAAGAAAGATAGGTTATACGTCAGTTGCAAAGGGCAAGAAGAAGGTGCTAATACTATTTATGTGATAAAATTTCAAAAATAAAAAAGCATGCTATTCAAAAAAGTCAATAACATTTAGTCATTGTTTGATGCTGATATTTAGATATTCATCAAGTTCTCGACTTAACAAATATTCATTAATAGTGGCCTGTACATCATTTGGTCTCTGAAATGGTTGTGGAACAATACCCTTCTAGCTGCCTAGTGGCGTTCGGCGTTCCAATTATTCCGTCAAGTGTTTGTGACCTGAAAAATGAAGGTAGGGCTTCCTCCCCCGTTTTACATCCGGCGTGAGAATTAGTCTTTAAACTTGCAATTGAAAATCAGATGGCTAAAAAGAGAGAGAGAGAGAGAGAGAGAGAGCCAGCCCCTTACCTGTGTCACATCCGGGGTATTTATATATATTGGGAGCTGGATAACCGCTGGGCGGTTGTGGTGTCACGTGTCCCACGTTGGCATTCCCACTTGATATGATCCTCGGTGCACCATCAATTTCCAAGAATTCATTAATTGATTGGAGAAGGTCGAAGTCAAGAACCGAGCCAAGTCGAGACTTTGAAGTAGCTAATAAAATTGTTCACTTATGTATTCGAGCAACGAAGTCTAAAACCATGAAGTTCACTTGTCAAGGAGTAAATTTGATGAAGGGGCCGAAGTCTAATTCAATTGGGATTAGCTTGATAATTGCAGCCGAAGACGGAGCCAAAATCAAAGATTGTGCGGCCGCATAGGAGCAAACATGGAATTTTTTGGCTGTTGATGAAGCTTTCATGCGGCCGCAGTCACTACCACCATGCGGCCGCACCACAGAAAATCGGCCAGAAAATTTCCTTTCCACGGGAGAAGATTTGTTTGAGTCAATTTCTTGTTTTTGGTAACTTTAATATTATAAGGACTCTAATTTCGTGTTTTACAATATTTTAGGAGTTTATTCCTTTTTAAATTAGGTTTTTATATTCTTTAGCATAAATAGGAGTTTTATGATTCATTGTAAGAAGACTTTTATTATGAAATTAGAGAATTCTCTCTTGAAACTTTGCTTCATTTATCTTTGTTCTTGAATGGACAAATCCGAACTTATCAAGACTAATCATCTTGTGGCGTTCAAACCATCAGCTTGAATCATTGAATTGTGTAATCAAATGGTCTTTCGCGTTATCGTTACCGTTGGATTTTTTGGTTCATCTTTTATTGGTTCAAATCCACAATCCGGGTGTGATTTCTTCAATCGTGTGATCAAAAAGTTTTTCAATCAACATTCTTGTTGGGTTGCTTGGTTCACTATTTTGGGGTCAGATCCATAAACCTTGGTCATATTGGCGTTCTTGGGATCCGATTCAATATCCTGTGGGTTCGATTGCAACCTTGTTGATTGGGTTCGCATCACCACTACCCCCACGTTCTGAGTGGGGGGGTCTTTAACTTCCTGCCTGGAAGTTGTACCGGTTTTAACTATCATGGAACCTAATCAATTTACTAGAGGTTTTATGGCTAAGTGTTTGGGTTGGCAATTCCATGCCAGTTGAATGCCTCGCGTAGTGGTGGAGCGCTCCCCGGGGGTATTGGTAGAGCACCCCTGGGGGGGGTCGACGGCCTTGCGTAGTGGTAGAGCGCTTCTGGGGGTGTTGGTAGAGCGTCCCTGGGGGGTCGACGGCCTTGTGTAGTAGTAGAGTGCCTCCGGGGGTCGATGGCCTCGCATCGAAGTGCAGTGATCCATCTTGCTTGTCGTCAAGGGTGGCTTCTTCTACCAACCTATATCTTTATCCCCCTACCCTTGTCGATGTTTTCGACGAGGGGTAGCAATTTTCTTTATCTGGGTTGGTTTGAAAATTATTATATATTTTTTTATACGTATAAATGATAAATGAGTAGTTCGTATTAGCAAGTCGAGCAATACAATCGAAATCAAGTAGCAATTTTACTGTACATATGGCACCCCATCAATGGTCGTAATGTTGGAGAGAATTTTCCCCCAAAAAAAGTTTGAATTCTTGTGTTTATGAAAGGAGGTGATTTTTACTTCCAATGATCACTTTCATTTTTCCTCAATATCCTAGGCTTTCTTCCTTCTAAGGTAATTTTCTCTTCTTTTTAATCCCAAGTCTTACTTAGAATTTCTCTTCATCTTTTTTGTTGACATGTATAAAACTATTCTTTCTTCTCCTTCCAATGAGAGTAGTGACGAGGGGTCAATTGATGCCGAAAAAATCCGGTCGGCTGGTTGGACGATCGATCCGGTGTGGCCGGTCGACCGACCAGCACACTGGTCGCTTGGCCAGCGCTGCTGGTCGATCCCGTCGCGTATTCGGGCGGTCGGTCGAAAGTTTGACCGGTCGAAGTCCTTCGGCTTCCCTTCCTTCGTCCGATGGGTTCCCATTTGAGTCTGATAGCCAAAACCTTTCAGTTGATTTTCAAGCCTTTATTTCAAATTCCCTCAAGGGACATGTCGGCTCCACTAAGTCTCCAAATCAAAACTTAGAAATCGAGCGAGATCCGGCTGGCGAGATCGTCCCCCTTGAAATTCCAAAAAGTTTTAGCTTTTATAATTCTCCGCTTAAGTTAGAGGAATGTCTTGCTAGGTATGATCGGGTCGACGATTACATCTATAGAGCCCCCGGGCCCAAAGAGAGACTCCCCGGGTCCGACCCCCGCTTGATAGCGATATATAAAGACATTATGGACGATGGTTTCCGGTTATCCATCCATCCTTTCTTTGTGTCGATTTTCAATGAGTTTTGTAATGTCCCGACCCCTTGTGGACCGGAACGCTACTTACTTTACTTAACTAACCGATGGTTTAATCATAGGAGAATATGTTTTAGCGGAAGCTTAATTTTTACAAATGATAATTTTAACAACAACT